TAAATAGTTCTGAGTTGACTTGTTATTGTTGTTAGGTGCCATCGAGTCGGTACTGACTCATAGTGACCCTATGCACAACAGAATGAAACACTGCATGGTCCTGGGCCAATCTCAAAATTGATGCCATGCTTGAGCCCTTTGATGCTGCCACTTTGCTAATCTGTCTCCCTGGGGGTCTTCCGCTTTTTCTCTGACCCTCCACCTTAACAAACATGATATCCTTCTCCAGCGACTGGTCCTTCCTGACAGTATGTCTGAAGTTTGAGAGATGAAGTTTGGCCATACTGTCCTCCAGGGAGCACTCTGGCTGCACTTCTTCCAGAAAACAAATAAATACAATTAATTTGGTAAACCTGAAGATAATGGTGTGCAAAATAGATGGCCAGCTCTGTTTGGGGAAGATTGCAAGCAGAGCTACTAGGTGACACTCTTGAGAGGTTTCTCAGAATGGGACTGCTAGAATTTTCTTTGCTTTTCTGTGTCTTGTTTTTAGCTGCTGTTGAGTTGGTGACCCCATGGTGGCCCCATGTGTTGCAAAATAGAACTGCCTTTCAAGGTGGTCCTTCCTATAATTTTTACAGGAGCAATTCACCAGGCTTTTGTTCTGTGTGGGTTCGAATCACCAGTGTTTATGTTAGCCTCTGATTGCAAACCGCTTGTGCCATCCAAGCTTCTAAACTCATTGTATCCTAGCAGTTCTCGTGTCCCATTATCCCTTGTTTACTGCTGACTGTGGGAATCGGTGATATTCTTAACGGAACATATTTCTGCTTGAAATGCATAGATCCTTGGATGAAGTATCATGCTGTGAGAGGTACAAAGAAAAGGTTTTAATCTTCAGATGGCTTTTTAACCCCCTTGGTCATTTGATTATAAACCATCTTATTGGAGTTACATTTGATGAGGCATTTCTAAGCAATTTTGATTTATTATTGTTGTTGTCGTTAAGTGCCATCACGTCTGTTCCAACCCATGGCAACTCTGTAGACGGTTTCTGAGGAGAGGTTGGTGAGTTTGAACCACCAACCTTGTGGTTCAGACCAACCTTGCAGTCCAGTGCTTCATCATACTGCGCCATACCAGGACTCCCAACTTTAATTTGTAAATAAACTTTAATTTATGGGTAAGTAAATGGTAAAATTTATGGTTGAAAATGAAGGTAACAATTAAGCATTTGCTGACCTTATAAAAGTTATCCTCTTCTATCAATTTCTGGGACTATGTAGAGTGTTACCAATAAATTACTTTTCCTAGCCCTAATCTCCAAGCACAGGGCTTTGTTTCCTAGGTAGGTCCTCCTGTCATAGATTCTCCTGGTCCACCTTGCTAGGATATATCATTTGTACATTAAGAACCAACCACCCATCTGTCAAGTTGGTCCTACTGTGGAGGCTTGCATGTTGCTGTGATGCTGGAAGCTCTGCCACTAGGATTTCAACCACCAGCAGGGTTGTTCTTGCTGGACAGGTTTCAGCAGAACTTTCAAACTCAGGCAGACAAGGAAGAAAGGGCTGGCGATCTGTTTAAAAAAAAATGATCCAATGAAAGTACTATAGTACACAACAGAATATTGTCTGGTATATGCTGGAAGATGAGCCCTGAGGTTGGAAGGCAACTCAGAATACACAGTGGCTACAACAGTGGACTCAAGCCACACCTACGATTGGGAAGATACTGCAGGATAGGGCAATGTTTCATTTTGTCGTACGCGGGTCAGCATCGGTCACGACGGTTAACAGCAGCATTAATAGCATATGTTGTTGTTGTTAAGTACCGTCGAGTCGGTTCTGACCCATAGCGACCCTGAACAGAGTTTCCGAGGCTGTAAATCTTTGCAGGAGCAAAAAGCCTCATCTTTCTGGTAGTTTCGAACTGCTGACCTTACAATTCGCAGCCCGATTTGTAACCACTATGCTCTCAGAGCTCCTTAATAGCATATTGATACCACCATTTATTGTTGGCCAATGAAATAGGCTGTAATGTGCAGGATCAATATGGGCTTGAACAGCTATTGAGAATTATTACAAGAGAATCTAAACTTTTGAAACTCTTGTTGTTGGCTCTTCCTACTGCTTGTTTTTCCCTTATAATTGTTGTTGTTAAGTGCCATCGAGTTAGTAGAGTTGATAGCCTTGCACATAAGTTAAAAAAAATGTGTACCCCGTACTACTTCTCTCCATTTGAAGCAAGAACATCATATGTAGATATTCTGTTGTTTAAAATACATCATCTGGTCCTTTTCAGTTGCACAATTTATATCCTTTTTTCTTTTAAAATAACTTTTTATTGTGAATTGAGTGAAGGTTACAGTGCAAATCAACAGTTTTACATGAAACAAATCATGCACTTCGTTTCATTTCAACGATTACAATCCCCGCCATGTACCATCAAAATCATGTCTTTAACACCAAGGAGGGGAAATCTGGAGGTCTTTTAAAGCAAGACAGAGAATCAAAAAGTTTTTAAGAAGTTTTTATTGTGAATTGAATCATCGTTTACATGGGAGAACATCAACTTTACATTTATTGCTTTCATTGCAATGATTACAGTCCCCTCCATGCATCATCATTCAACAATGTTTGCTTCTGCTCCCTTTGTTTTATTATTTTTGGGGGGGGGGTGCTGTATACAAAAGCACTCAGGAATATATAATAATTTAAACAACCAAAGGGCACATTCTGCAAGCCTGCCTCCTGGCTGCCAGCACTCAGTCCCTCTCTTTCCATGAGTCTGGAGTCCTTAGCTGCTCTCTTGCTCCATGTCTTCATCTCTGCCTCCATCTTTGGTGTTGCTGCCTCTCTGGAAAGGGCCCCACATTCTGCTCATGCAGATGGTCCTAGGGTCCTCTGTTTCTGGACTGTAACATTAATTACTCCCTACTTTTTGTTACAGAACTTCTACCTTTACAGCTGTGACAGTTGCAATTAGTCATGATAACAATTACTATTGAATCATAAGAATCTTATCCCCATCTCTTTTCACCAGACCCATCTAGACAAGATGAAAACTATTCAATGGGGACTCTACCTTACCCCATACACTCTTAAACTAAACTCCCTCTTGAAAACTTGTAAGCCAGTCACTTCATGCCTTTATTACCTGCTCCTTTTAGGTAGCCCTATCTACCATGTATCCAGAGGGGATAGGATTGATACTTGATGTGAGGACTCCTTCCCTCTCAGTTGTTGTATTGAGCTACTACGTCCATAAGTATACGTCAAGTTCATCAAATTGAAACAATTTACACTTGTTTCTTTCATAAAAAATGTTGATTTATTTTAGAGACAGGGTTTGTGGGTCTGTGCAAATTTAAAATCGCTTACTTATGGAGTATGATGGCTCTATAGGATAAGTACTGAACCGCTAACCACAAGATCAGTGACTCAAGCCTCTCAGCCACTCCTTGGGAGAAAAGAAATTTGCTGCTCCAGTATCGATTTATGGAGTCCTGGGGTGGTGCTGTGGATTAATGTTCTGGACTGCAAGATTGGTTTGAACCACAAGGTCAGCGGTTCAAACTTACCAGTCGCTCCTTAGAAACCCTATACAGGGTCGCTATGAGTCAGAACCCACTTGTCAATACTTTGCAACAGCAAGCATATATTTATAACCTCAGAAACCCTGTACAGAGTTGTTAAGAGTCGGAACCAACTGGAAGGCACTTAACAACAGCTTGAGGTTAAGTTTTTAAGAGCCATTTTGTGTGTTTAATTGTATTTTCTTTGTTTCTTGTACTTGAGGACAAATGTGTCCTTTTCGTTTCTGCTGGTGCATCTTTGTTTGAGGGGTCTGTCTTGGCAGAAAGCAGGAGTGTAACCCGTGAACCTGGTGGGAATCAGGGATCTGTCTGATGACAACCTGGTCTGTTTCTGCTGCTGACTTTCTGTGAGCCTTAAATACTTGCAGACTTTCTGGGCTTCACTTTTCTTATCCTTAAAATGACATTGGAGTCAATGCTTTGTATTGTCACCTGTAGCACTGACAATCTGTGACAGTATTTTGTAACCCCCAGTTTCCATTAAATCACTGTGTGCACAGTTAGGAGACCGTGGACAAATAGTGTTGAGTTTCAAAAAGTTTCTGGAAAAATTCCATTAACCTTTCATTACATTTTCCCACAAACTTTGTGAAGCCCTCTCGTGTAACACAAGTGTTCCAAAGGTTTCCTTTATCTTGTCCTCCAACCTTCCTAAAGGTTGAGGTGTCTACAATGACAAATTTCATGGTAAGACACAAAAATGCGGCAACTATGTTTTGAACTAGTCTTCTTCATTCACATAAGAGCATCAAACACCTAAATTCACCCTTAACTTTTGTCAGGGTTTTTGAGGCAGAGTTTCTTCAGTGTTTCTTTAGCCAATGGTCTCAAAAATCATTGCACTTAATACAAAGAATTCGGTAAGATCCTGTTATGCCCTTGAACTGTTCTACCTCTTAAGGATTTTCAGTTCTTCAGGAGTCCTGGTGACGCAGTGGTTAAAGTGCCAGGTTGCTAACTGGAAGTCACAAGAGAAACATGTGGCCATCAGCCATTATAACTGCCTCGGAAACCTTGTGGGGCAGTTCTACTCTGAATCCACTCAACAGCAGGAGGGTTGGGTTTTGTTGTGGTTGTTCTTAGGTGCCATCGAGTCATTACCAACTCATAACAATTATATGCACAACAGAACGAAACACTGCCCCATCCTGGACCAACCTCACAATTGTTGCCACGTTTGAGCCCATTGATGCTGCCACTGTGCCAATCCATTTTGCTGGGGGTCTTCCTCTTTTTCTCCAACCCTCCACCTTACCAAACATGATATCCTTCTCCAGCGACTATCCCTCCTGACAGTATGTCCAAAGTATAAGAGATGAGGTTTGGCCACCCTGGCTTCCAAGGAGCACTCTGGCTGTACTTCTTCCAGCACAGGTCTATTGTTCTTTTGGCAGTCCATGGTACTTTCAATATTCTTTCTATTATGCACTATAATATTGATATTCTTTTTATTTTTGAACAGAAGATGGCTCAAGCTTGGAGGAGATCGGTTTCAATTGGGGAGAATATTTGGAAGAAACAGGTGCAAATGCAGCTCCTCACACATCTTTCAAACATGTACGTAAAGCATTGCCTCTCTTCTAATCTACATTTAGAGGGTGGAGGTGAATTAATAGAGAGATGAAAGGAATAGAAGAGGGACATTCAGCCTTGATCTCCTAGAAATAAGGTGGAATTGTGAAAGGTTGGTGATTTTTCATAGCTCGCTGTAGGTAAGACGGACTTTGCTCTTGCAAACTTGTCTACCTGAAAGCACACAGGCCACGAAGACATATCATCTAATGTGTGGCTGGGCTCAGGGTTGGGTGCTCAATGTGAGTGAAAAGGTTTACAGTTTCAACTTTGTGCTATGCGTAAGAAGCAAGTAGTGATTAAGTGCTGGGCTGCTAACAAAAGGTACGAACCCACCAGCTGCTCCTCAGGAGAAAGATGGGGCAGAGTGCTTCTGTAAAGATTCACTGTAAAGAGAACCCTAATGAGTCAGTGAGACTTGTAATGGGCCTTTCAGCAATGGGGGGCATAGGCCTAAGAAAGCAAAATTAGAAAATGCCCTTACCTTCTAGGCATACAGCCTGAGAGGTTAGGTTCATTTGAGTAAATAGAAGCCAGCAAACTAGGCAAGTAGTATGTTGTTTTGTGGCTTCTTAGTACCTGGATTTATATTTTAATTTTGAACTGATACTTTTATTTTGAAATGACACATAAACATTTTAGAGCCATTTGTGGGCAGTTGAGTCAAATTAGAGGCAATGACCCTAAGTATTTAGAAACTATTTGGATCAAGCTCAATTTTCCAGAACCCAAGTTCTGAGGCATTACTACTGCTTTAGTGGAAATAAAATTTTAGTTCTGAGAAACATTGTCTCACTAGACTGTGGAGGGCAAAGATTTTACTTGATTCTTATGAGCAAGTTAGGATAATTCTCTAACCTTTTTGCTTCTGTGTTGAACTAAAAAGCTAGGATTTTCATTCTTTATTTTAATAAAATACTTCATTCTTTTTGGAGGTAAAGTGTTGTTTTAAAAAGGAATTTAAAACCTTTAAATTTTTTTTACATGACTTTGTACATGTAGATATTTCCATTTCTTTTTTTATACTTACATGTATAATAATATAATTTATTTTGAATGTGATTGTAACCACTTAGTAAACTGATTATATCAGGATTGTATCAAGATTGACATAGAAATTTAAAGAGACAGTATAGACATAAAACCAAACGGCCACCACTCATCTGTCTGTCGTGCTGTGGTGGTTTGAGTTGCTGTAATTCTGAGGGCTATGCCACCGGTATTTTAAATAACCAGCAGGGTCACCCATGGTGGAAAGGTTTCAGATGAGCTACAAAACAAAGACAGACTAGGAAGAAAGAGTGACAAACTACTTCCGAATCGCTAGTCACTGAAAACTCTATGTATAGCAGAGAAACATTGTCAGATATCGGACTGGAAGGTGGGAGGGCACTCAGAAAGCGATTGTGGAAAAAAATGCCTACTCAAAGTAGGGTTGGCCATAATGACATGAATACAGTTAAGCTCGGGGGAGAAAAGCACACAGAACCTGCATTTGCTGATGGGCAACAACTTAAAATGAGGAGAAACAGCTGTAAACATCCATTGAAAATTGGAACATGGAATGTACGAAGTATGAATTTGGGAAAATTGGAAGTGGTCAAAAATGAAATGGAACGCGTAAACATCGATATCTTAGGCATTAGTGAGTTAAAATGGACTGGTATTGGTCATTTTGAATCTGATAACCACATGGTTTACTATGCAGGGAATGACAAATTGAAAAAGAACGGTGTTGCATTCATCGTCAAAAAGAACATATCCAGATCAGTCATGAGGTACAATGCTATAAGTGATAGGATAATATCCATGCGCCTACAGGGAAGCCCAGTTAATACCACTATTATTCAAATTTATGCACCAACCACTAAAGCCAGTGAAGATGAAATAGAAGAATTCTACCAACTTCTTCAGTCTGAAATCGATCAAACATGCAATCAAGATGTATTGCTCATTACTGGTGACTGGAATGCAAAAGTAGGGAGCAAAGAGGAGGGACCAGTAGTTGGAAAATTTGGACTTGGTGATAGAAATGATGCTGGAGAACGAATGATAGATTTCTGCAAGACAAATGATTTGTTTATTTCAAATACCTTCTTTAGACAGCATAAGAGACGACTTAGTAAAACTAAGAGTTAAATATGAAAACATAATAAGACCCCTCCTGTTATACAGCTGAGATGATGTTATTAAGTACCTAAGTGCATCAAGTCAGTTCCGACTCATGGTGACCCTGTGTAAGATTTCCAAGGAGGGCTGCTAAGTTTGAACTGCTAATCTTGTGGTTCAAATCGACCTTGTAGTCCAGTGCATTAGCCCACAGTGCCTCACCAGGGGTCGTGGGTAGAGTTGATAAATATTAGTAGGCTGTCACCCTAATTAACCGTGGTGATGCAGTGGTTAGGCAATTGACTGCTAAATGAAATGTTGGTGATTTGAACCTGCCCAAAGGCTCTTCAGAAAAAAAGATCTGGCAGTCTGCTCCTGTAAAAATTAAAGTATAGAAAAATCCTATGGGACATTTCTACTTTGTCAAGTCAATAGCACATAAAAACAGCAAATAACTCCAGTTTAAAAAAAAAACAATCCAAGGAAAAAAATATATATACCCAGGGTTGTGCTGTTGAGCACAATAGTCACTGGCCATGTGACATGAGGCTGTTGGACATTTGAAAATTGTGCAGACCAAATTGAAATTGTGCTCTTGGTGTAGAGTAAGGAGCCCTGGTAGTGCAGTATGTTAAGAATTGGGCTGCTAACCGCAAGGTTGGTGGTTCAAACATACCAGCCTCTCCAAGTGAGAAAGATGAGGTTGTCTGATCGCTTAATGATTCAGCACAGACTTGAAAACCCTAAGGAACAGTCTGCAGTGTCCTGAAGGGCTACTATGAGTTGGAATTGACCCAGTGGCGATGAGTGAGTAAGTGTGGATTATATACTGAATTTCAAAGACTTCATTCTAAAGCAAGAATGTAAAGGATCTTAATATTTTAAAAATTGGTTACATGTTGAAATAATACTTAGGATCTGTTGGGCTAAATGAAATGCACTGTGAAAATTAATTTAATCCACTTAGCTTTACTTTTTTACTGTGACTATTAGAAAATTTAAAATAGGTTTTTTTGGCTTGCATTATATTTCTATTAGGTATTGCTGCTGTTGGGAACCAAAAATGTTGTTTTAACGGCTGTGTGTTTAATAGTTCTTGTAATCTCTTGCATGCATGTATTTAGTATAATAATGGTTTTCCTATGTTTCTGATTCCTTAAGGTTGAAATCAGCATTCAGAGCAACTTCCAGCCAGGAATGAAACTGGAGGTAGCCAATAAGAACAACCCGGACACATACTGGGTGGCCACCATCATCACAACGTGTGGACAGCTGCTGCTTCTTCGCTACTGTGGTTATGGAGAGGATCGTAGGGCTGACTTCTGGTGTGACGTGGTGATAGCAGATCTCCACCCTGTGGGGTGGTGCACACAGAACAACAAAGTGTTGATGCCCCCAGATGGTAAGCTCTATACATGCAGGCAACAGTTGCGCCACATTTTGAAGACTTTCGAGTGATGAGCCATCATCACTTTTAATATTTGTCATCTCTGTTAGGGTAGAGAGAACCTTGCAGACGGTTGATAATTGCTTTGGTAGAAAGATCTCCTTCTCTTTAAAGATTAAGGTTACTGGAGCAAGGGGACATGGGTGCATGCTTGGATGTCAGCTGGATTTGACAGTTTGGCCAACAGTGGCCGTTAGGAGATGAAAGCTTTTGAGCATAATCCTCAAGTTGCTTTCTGAGGGTAGGTAGGTAAGGAAGGTGGAAGGAATGCTAATGATTGAGGTCTTATTTTCTCTTTGCTGATTGATGGTGTTACTTTTCTTTTTCCTTAGAGATTTGACATTTTGAGCAGTACTGTAGAATATCTTAAAGAGGCTTTTCCAATACATTTTAATCTGTTTTGTCATGGAGAGACTGTTGGGTGTGAAGCATGTAGTAAACCAAACAGAAGAGGAAAAATGACATCACTCTTTAGGGAATTGTCAAAGCGTGTGCAGATAGATCAGTTTAGTTGCTAGAAAACAGTGGTTCTCAACCAGAGCAATTTTACTCTCTAGGGGAAGTTTGGCAATCTCTGGAATCAGTTTTGGTTTTCATTACTGGGAAGGAGAGGGCATATGCTACTGGCATCTAGTGGAAAGAGGCCAGGGATGCTGCTAACCCCCCTACAATGTACAGAGCAGTCTATCCTCTTCACCCTACTACCTCTCGCCCTCCCCCCTACCCCCTCAAAGACTTTTATTTGGCTCACATTGCCAGTACTGTAAAGGTTGGGAAAGAACGAGCTGCATTTAAAAAATGAATTCAAGAAACTCATCTGATCCTATAAGTGACAATAATGGAGTCTCCAGAATTCGAATCTCAACATCAGATTCTCTGTTTCCTGATATGATAGTTGTTGTTGTTGTGAAGTGCCGTCAAGTCTGTTCTGACCCATAGAGACCCTGTATAGGGTTTCCAAGGAGCGACTGGTGAGCTTGAACCGCTGACCTCGCAGTTCAAGCGGCTTTGCAGTGTGGTGCATTAACCCACTGTGCCACACCAGGGCTGTGATAGAAGCAGCAGTTATATTTGGAAACTTTTCATGCCAACTCTCAAGCTATGTGTGGAATATTTCCTGAAAAGATTTAGACATTTATATGCCATTTCAAAACTCATTTTGAATTTCTTTTTCCTTTTGTTTTCTAAGTTTTGACATTGTTTTTCAGATTGGTGGTTTTTACTATACTCCCGTGTTATGTATAATTGTGGGCCTTCTAAGGAGGAGCATAAAAAATGGCAAGGAGTTTAAGAGCTGAATTTATGTGACACATGTTTGGACTGATTCCATTGCTTTGGCCTTAACCACCAGCTAGATTACTTAGTAGGATCTCAAGAGAAAGAGAAAAAAGAGCCTTTTTGTTTTCCTTTTTGTCTTGGGTCACTGGACTTATTCTTTCCTGTACCTAGAACTCCTTTTCTCTTCTCTTTCTCAAGTTATCCATTGCCCCCTCTATATGCCCCCATACTGTCATCATACCTATTTCTTTCTCTGGAAACCAGCATCATACCCTGCTCCAAGCTCACATGGCTTCATGTGCTCTTAGTATTGACAGTGACTGCAACTGGACTACCCCCCTCCTTTTTCATAGTTGATACACAATTCACATTCCATAAGTCATCCTTTTCAAAGTATGGAATTCAGTAATTTTTAATATATTCATAAAGTTGCACAACCATCACCACTATCTAATTCTAGAACATTTTATCACCCCCAAAGACACCTTATACCCACTAGTAGTCAGTCCCCATTTTTCTGTACCCCAGCCCCAATCAACCATGAATCTACTTTCTGACTCTGTGCATTTGCCTATGCGTTCATATAATAATGTCTCATTCCTTTTTAAGGCTGAATAATATTGCATTGTATGTTATGCCACATTTGTTTTCCCACTCATCTCCTGACTGGCATTTAGGTTTGATTGAATTTTCTTTGTGGTTCTCTGCTTAGAGCTCATTTTACCCTCTGGACAGTAAGGTCCATGCATGCTGGGACCTTGTGTGAGTTCACTCATCTGTATACCCCTATGGTAGCACATTGGCCAATAGGTAGCCCATTTTGATTATGCTTGACGAGTTCTAGATAAATATATATTGAATAATTGAATGACCTGATGAAAAAGGTTAAAATGCTCCTACATAGCAGCCAGTAGATGTCTGTAAGGAAATAAAAAATCAGTGCTATTTATTATGGCAAGTAAAGCCCTAACTCCACGTAACCTTTCTTCCTTGCATTTTGAGTCAGTATCATTTGCATTGTGATCTCTGAGATGGTATTTCTAACATCTGTATTGATGGGATGCTGTTCAGGTGAGTACTGTGGATGCTGCTAATGAGTCAGGCTTTGTTATTAACTCCCATTCCAGTTCTGCTTAAGCATACTGTCAGGTAAAAAGAGCCGTTTTAGGGTAAGCAACATACTGTAATGCATTTGGTAATACTTATTTCCCTTAACCCTAGACTCAATCTAACTTAGTTATATGTAACACTGTCTTTTTTATTTTTTGTAAATAATTGATCTGACTTTCAGTTAAAATACCCACTGAACTCAGAAGGTACGATGTGACGTACGATTATTTCATTTTCTTGTTAGTTCTGAAAGGAATCCTGGTGATGCAGTGAATAAGACACTTGGCTGCTAACCAAAAAGTTGGTGGTTCAAACCCACCAGCCACTCTGTGGGGGAAAGGTGTGGTAGTTTGCTTTCATAAAGATTTACAGCCTTGGAAACTCCATGGGGCAGTTCTACTCTGTTCTGTAGGGTTACTAAAGTTGGAACAGATGGGATAACTGTTTTATTTTATTTTGTTTTTGGGTAGTTTTGAACTTTCATAAAATGAACCAATCTTGGTGGATTATGTATACTGACCCAGTACCGGGAAGCTGCCAGTCCTCAGAGAAGGAGAATGGTCCCAGTTCCCACTTGCCACGAATACTAAAGATACCCCTAGGTACAGAAGGACATACATCATAGAGAATTGCACTCACAAGGAGGGCTGTGTATTGCTCAGAAAAGGCAGCAAGTTGATCACTTACGGTCTCAGAAGAAAGACACGCGCACACGTCCACATGTGTTTATCCCCAGGGGTGTCTGCACACTCAGTGGGCTGCAGAAGGGGAGTCAGGCTGTAGCCCTTGCTGCTCGTGCTTTCACCATCTCATTCATGACTCACCCTAACAGTCTAGTAGCTAGTAGCTCAGTGCCCTTGGAAAGGCTGTGAGATGGTTTCACTTTATAATAGATTCTCTTGTGAACACTCTTAATGACAACTTCCAGGGTACTGAATTTTAGCACTCTAAGAACAAATGGGCTCATTTGGTAACACTCCATGCTGTTGTTTGAGGACAGAGCTTCGTTGATGAATCAGTTCTCCTTTCTCACATGGATGAAAAGTATGGCCAGCAGTTACAGTTTCAGAAACACCATCAAATTTGTATCGCACTGACTTGTGCTATTAGGCAAGACGTAGACACATTTAATAGGACAAATTCAGAATGAAATACGGGGAAGCCCTGTAGAGGGGAAACTGCTCATTTGCCATTAATGTGACTGAAAGATGTGAAGTCAGTTCAGACAATGACAGGTTATGCTAATGTGAGGATTTCTTTATTGCTTTCTTTAAAGAACTTAAAAAAAATTTAGTAGCTAATCAATATGATGTGGAAATCTTTAGTACAGAGAACAAAGTCAGGAAATAGCAGGTTCATGGGGCAAGAGGTTTTATTGATTGCTGTAGTACAGGATAATTATTGCTTTGTAGCCAGAGGCGGAAGTGCTTCCACAGGGAATAGTCTAATCTATTTTTTGAACAAGGATTCTTGTTTGTGCGGTTTTCTGTCTTAGAGACCTAATATCGTTGTACATTCTGCAACCGTACCTGGTCAATCTTTGCTGTGGTTAGACTTAAAAGGCGTCACAGGATATTAACACCCTTTATGGCAATCCATGACACGTCATGTTTTTGTTTGGAATGTTCTGTAGTGATAGAGAGATTTTCTTACCGATCCAAGGGATCAGAATGGCTTTAAGGGAGAAGCACAGTGTCTGGAGACAAGAGATCTGGGATCTAATCTTCCCATTACCATTAAGTTTGCTCTGTCCTTGAGTTGACTACCAGTTATCTCATCTTTGAGACTAGTACCTCGTTTATGAATCAGGTCTCCTTTCTCATATGGATGAAAAGTATGGAACTATGTTGTGGTGCTGTGCCTTGGAGTCGGTTCTGACTCACAGCAACCCTGTACAGGGTTTCTGAGGCTATAAATCTTTATAGGAGCAGAAAGCCTCATCTTTCTCCCATGGAACGGCTGGTAGTTTCCAACTGCTAACCTTGAGGTTAGTAGCCTGGTAACCACTACACTACTAGCGTCCCTTTGGAACTGTAGTATATACGTACATACTGTATACATATATACATATAGTGTATAAATCACACTATAGTCAGAACTGACTCAGTGCACTTAACAACAACAACATGGAATATGTGAAGAAATGTGGCATCAGAATTGGAGAAAAACTCATTAATAACCTGCAGTATGATATGACTCATTAATAACCTGCAGATGATACAACCTTGCAAACTGAAAGCGAAGAGTATTTACAATACTTAATGTTAAGTAGATGAAGATCAAAGACCACAGCCCTTTGTATGGCTTGCACCTCCATGTAAAGAAAACAAAAATTCTCACCACTGGACCAATGTACAATATCCATATAAGATTGAAGTTGTCAAAGACTTAATTTTACTCTGATCAACCATCAACACTCGTGAAAGCAGCAGGCAAGAAATCAAACAACGTATTGCATTGAGCAAATCTGCTGCACAAGACCTCTTAAAAGTGTTTAAGAGCAAAGATATCAGTTTAAGGACTAAGGTGCACCTGGCCCAAGTCATTGTATTTTCAGTAACCCCACA